ATCCATCCATCCAGCCAGCCATCTATCCATCCAGCCAGCCATCTATCCATCCAGCCAGCCAGCCAGTCATCCATCCATCATCCATCCATCCATCTATCCATCCATCCAGCCAGCCAGCCATCTATCCATCCATCCATCCAACCAGCCAGCCAGCCAGCTATCTATCCAACCAGCAGCTATAAATCTATAGACTGTCTGTACCTTTCCTGTCCTCTCAAACAGACGGTCGTAGCGAATGGCTGCTCATCCTGAATCTGATTCTGGTTCTTCTGGCGGTGTCTTCTTGTTTAAACTGAATCATTTCTTTCCACTGTCACCAGTGTGCTGCTCAGCGTGGAAGATTGCAACAAACTGATGTTTCGACACAATCTGCTGGCTTTTATGAATAAATAACTTTACTAATTGCCAGTTTATAAAGTATGTGAGTGCTCTTGTACAGTATCTTGAGGTGATTTTGTTGTGAATTAAAACTATATAAAAAAACTGAACTTTAATGGATTATATGTAAATGAATGACGCTTATTGAATTTACTCAAATGGGCATGAGGAATAAAGTAACAGAGGAAGCTGTGAGACAGGTTTAAGATAGATCCCTTAAAACTGAGACGCCCATCTACATAACACCCTCCACACACACTGCCCGTGTGTTTGTTGGGTTGTAGCTCGAGAAGATGATAACACACGCGTCTTGCAGACTGTCGACATGCAAGCAGGCCACTCTGCAGGAACCCAACCCATGTAAGCAACACCCAAAACATCCCAACCCAGCCTGGCAACAACCCAGCTCCCCCCTCCTGGCATCCTCGCTAATTCAGGATGCACTTAACCCACTGAGAGAGTGTGTGAGACATGGAAACAGTTTGTGCTGCAGTATGCAGGAGGCACAGCTGAGCGGTCAGCAGGAGTCCAGGGAATGGCTGAGCTCAGGGAAAATGCACTTGCAGGCTTCCACTGACACACTGAGCAGCACCGCTGGCATTTTCGAACGCACTGGTCAGGGTGGGGTCAGTTGTTTTACATGCTGGACCAATATTTTAAGCTGTGTCGGGTTTCTAAATGAGGTGAAAGAGGATTTGACATTTAAAGAGACAACTGTGTTTCATCAAGTTCCCATGTGCTGTATTCACCTAAAACACATAAAGCTAACTCTTTTTTTTAACATTCAATGTTTTTAAGTCCAAGGAATCCAAGAATTTTTCTCTAAGTTTTACTGTGCTTAATGAAACTAGAGAAACTGCATTTCCTGCGAAAATGCAGCCTGAAGGCTCATTGCTGAAGAATATGAAGAAAACAGCTGAAATTAGCTAAAACATGCTGAAATGTAACTGAAATTGAAGAACAAGCCTAAGTTAGCAGAAGAAAGCAGAAAGAACACGTATTTGCCAAAAGAAGCAGAAATGAGCATAAAAAAGTGGAGATTATCTGGAAAAAAGCTGAAATTGACAACAACAAAAAAAAACCTGCTGAAAAGTAACTAAAAAAAAAGGCAGAAAGAAGCTTAAATTACAAGAAGGAAGTGGAGAGAGCACGTTTTTGCCGAATTAAGCTAAAAAATGTTTAAATGAGCGCAAACGTGGAATTAGCTGAAAAAGCTCAAATTAGCACAGGTCAGCGTCAGAGAGATTTATTTGTCATTCACATCCCCTGGTGTGCATGAGGCGGAACAAAATTATGTACACAGGGTCCCAGTTACATCCAACAATAGAGCTAAGATATGAACTAAGAAAAACATCAGCTAAATATACACTAAGCACTAATAGCATAAAAACATCACGTCGAACAGCAGCACGAACATGAGTCTGTGTGAGCAGATGAGCACGCATGAACACATCAACATGAAACAGATCAGCAGCAACATGATGTGATTTTTCACAGTGATTATTCTGGTTAGAGATTCATGAGTCTAACAGCCTCAGGGTAGAAGCTGTTCCTCAGTCTAGTGGTTCTACACTTAATGCTCCTCAACCTCCTTCTTGAGGGGAGCGGGGCAAAAAGTGTGTGTGCTGGGTGAGTGGGGTCCTTCATGATGCAGGTGGCCCTCTTCCTGCATCTAGAGGTGTAAATGCCTGTAATGGTGGGGAGACTGACTTCAACATAAAACAGCTAAATAGTAGCTGAAATAGCAGGAAAAGCTGAAACTTGCATAAATAAACTGAAAGGAGTGTGACAAGCTGAAATTAGCACAAAGAAGTTTGAAGAAGCACAAAAATGTTGTAGTTAGCAGAAACAAAAAGCTGAAATTAGCTGAAAGTAGCTGAAAAAAGTTTAAATTTGCTAAAGGAAATTGAAATAAGCTGAACCAGAACAAAATGTAAAAGGATGTAAAATGAACTCTATTAATTTTCTATGAGAATAAAATGGCAGAAAAGGCTAAATATATAAATAAAAATAAAAACAACTAAAGTTGCACCAATACCAAAACTCGTAGCAGGGTTGTCCTGAAAGAGCTGAACGTTTTGATATATGATTTGTTGAAATAGATCAAAAATTGTGAAATTAGAAAGATGCTGAAAAACGTAAATGGATCACATTAGTGTGAATGCTTCATAAGCATTCACACAAAAAATTACCTAAAATGTGTAAAATTTAAAAGACAGAGTAATATAAACAATTTTTACTGTGGGGAAGGAAATAAGATACTTTGTGGATGTATCATTTTGTTTTGTTTGGGCTTAACTTGTAACCCCCAGGCACAGTAAAAGTCTATAAAAAAGACCATGAAGTTCAGTGTATACAAAATTAGTCAAATGAGTATCAATGCCAAGCAACTAAAGAGTGGCAAAATATGTAATCCAACACGAGTATTATATTTATCACAGCAGCAAATCTGCACCAATAATATTTAAAACTTGAACAATCATAAGATTATCGCAGGTCTTTAGAAAAACTGTGAACACTGAATGCCTGCAGGCTGCATTGTTAAGAAAAGTGGGCCAAAAGTGCTCTACGGAAACATTTGATAAGGAAACATTTACTTGATGCGTTGCTGTTGTGAGTGCTTTATCAAACTGCTCAGTGAAAATGGATTCACTCATTTATTGCACCCAGATCCTTAAATGTGATCTTTTTTTTAAATTAAAACAGATTACAACATGGGTGTAATGTGTCAAGTGTTTACATATGATTCTATACATTTCAAATCTGGTAAAGACCTAATTCTTTTCTGTTATGTACAGATGCATAAAAGCATAAAAATAAAACATGTTCTGAAAAGGTCTATAAATAAATAAATAAAATATTTGCACAGATATTTATTTTGGCATCATTAAGTATTGCAGAATATCATTTTCTTGTTAATCGTGTGATTTGTCATTATAACTTTAGGTTTGAGCGCCCTCTGATGGCAGTTTTAAGTACTACTTATCAAGTTTTTTGGATCCAAGAAAAATAGAAAATGTTTAAACATTAAAATGAACACACTTTGAATAAATCTATGTCAGTCAACCTGTGTATGATCCACCTGTCCATCCAAACTCTTTCTAAACCCTCTTGATTGGTCATGCAAAGATGGTGCCCACAGCTGAGAGGCTGGGTCCACCCAGTGAAGGTCAACTGTCCAAATCAGGGCTAATGACGTAAAGGAATCAAAACACAAGGAACAGAAGAATAAAACATAAACCACAAGGACAAATAAAACTGATGATATGATAACGGGTAAAGATGATGCCATGATTCATCACAGAAATAAAAGCATAAATAAACAAGTGAGTAAGTACTTATACATAAACACATAAATAGTGACACGTTCTTTCTACCTGCTGATTGATACCCAGATAGCAGTGGACTCTGACCTCTGATTTTTATTTATTTAATTATTTATTTTTACTAAGAAAAAAATGAATGTATTTGAAATTCGACCTCTGAACACAGAAGTGAGAGAATTTGAAACGCTTCTTTCACACTGACAAATAGTGGGCGTAGAGAAATGTAAATGTAAACTCACTTCCTGTCAAGTTTCATTTTCTTAGAGGGAATCTAAGATGTGGACCCTCCATAACCTGCAGTTCGTCTTGTTCAGTAAGTCGTTTACACAAAAATACTGACATTTGTTTGCATTTATGAGTTGTTCGACACAGACGGCAGAGAACCAAACCTTGTAAGTGAAACTTTATTTTATTGGGGGCTGCCATTGCAATGCATGGAAGCCACCTATTATTCTACACCCAATAAGGGTTTCTTTATTGTGTGAATGCCATTAATGCCTAAAGGCATTAATGGCATTCACACTATAGTGATTCACTTGTTCTTCCGTGCGTTATTCGGCATCTAACTACTCCCACAGTTTTTGTGCTATTTCAACAAATCATACATAAAACATTCAGCTGTTTTAGGACATGTCTGCTATGACTTTTGGTAATGGTGCAACTTTAGCTTTTTGAGATATTTAGCAGGCAGCACGGTGGCGCAACTGGTAGAGCTGCTGCCTCTCAGCGAGCAGGTCCCTGGTTCAAACCCCGGTCCAGGGGCCTTTCTGGGTGGAGTTTGCATGTTCTCTCCGTGCATGTGTGGGTTTTCTCCGGGTGCTCCGGTTTCCTCCCACAGACCAAAAACATGCATGTTAGGCTGATTGGTAACTCTAAATTGTCCTTAGGTGTGAGTGAGAGAGTGAATAGTTGTTTGTCTCGTTTGTCTCTATGTGTCCCTGTGATGGACTTGCGACCCGTCCAGGGTGTACCCCGCCCCTCGCACAGTGATTGCTGGACATGGGCACCGGTGAACCCCGTGACCCAAAATGGAATAAACGGGTAAAGAAAATGGATGAAAGAAATGGATGGAGATATTTAGCTTTTTCTGGCATTATAACCGTTTGGAGCCATTTTGATGCACAGCTACCTCAGCAAAAACACAAAATTGACTATAACTTGGTCATTCTTTGAGATATTGAACTATTAAACAGAAAATCATTGTTGGATTTCCTGATGCATGCTCAATAATCCAGGTAGAAAAATCTAAAAAAAGTTAAATCTGGTCCTCTGGACGTTCAAAAAACAAAATAAAAAAATGTAGAAACGTTTCGTCTTGCATCCGAAATACTTCCTCAGTCTGAGGTGCTGTATTCAGCTCAGTCTTATATATACAGTATAGTCTGATATATTTGCAGTTTGACTCCCATCACCCTTTGGAGCACAAGTTAGGAGTCATCAGGACTCTGTATCACAGAGCAGACAGCGTCGCCACTAACTCAGGAGCCAGGCAGAAGGAGAAATCCTACACAAAACAGGCTCTAGAGCAATGTGGATATCCTAACTGGGCCTTCCTGAAAGCAGAGAAGAAACCCAAACAGGACTCCAGTCAGCCAACAGGTGAAAAGGAGGAACCCAGACCCAGACCAGTGGTCATTCCATATGTTGAGGGAGTATCAGAGAAACTGAGACATTTATTTTCTAAACATAACGTCCCAGTGGCTTTTAAACCCCAAAATACATTACAGCAAAGACTGGTTCATCCCAAAGATCCAGTCCCCCGGCACAAACAGAGCAATGTTGTGTATGCTGTTCAGTGTCAGGAGGGCTGTGATCAGTCTTACATCGGGGAAACTAAACAGCCACTGGCCAAAAGGATGGCCCAGCACAGAAGATCAACATCATCAGGCCAGGACTCTGCAGTCTACACTCATCTCCAGGCCAGCGGTCACTCTTTATGAAGATGTTCACATTCTGGACAGAGAGGAACGATGGTTTGAGAGAGGAGTAAAGGAGGCCATCTTTGTGAAAATAAATTGTCCATCATTAAACAGGGGTGGAGGCCTCCGTGTTCAACTGTCCCCCTCTTACAATGCTGTGATTGTTAGTATCACTCAGCCCTCTGTGAACAGTAAACAGCCATCAGTGTGCTAATGATCCATTGTTAGGCTGATGGTCCTTCTTGAGCATGTGATCAGCTGGTTTTGGTTGTCAGCAGCAAAACTGGTTGATCCACTCTGAGAAGGTGCTATTTAAGAGACTGAGCTGAATACAGCACCTCAGACTGAGGAAGTCTCTCGGATGAGAGACGAAACGTTTCTACATTTTGTTTTATTTTGTTTTGCTTTGTTTTGTTTTTTGAATGTCCAGAGGACCAGATTTAACTTTTTTAGATTGTTGGATTTGTTTGAAACTCACAGAAAGTAATCAAGAGATGTATCTCCTGAACTGATGAGCGTTTGAAGCCATTTTGATCCAAGATGGCTGCCACAGCTACCTCAGCAAACACAAAATTGACTATAACTCAGTCATTCTTTGACATATTGAGCTGAAATTAATTACAATTGTAGCTGAGAGCGAGTTGTAATACATTCCTAATGAAAATCAAATATCCAAGATGGCCGCCTTAGTTAAAAGAGAAAAAATATATAATAACTCGGCCATTTTAAGAGAAATTGAGCTGAAATTTGGCGTATTATTAGCTGAGAATGATCCCTAATAGATTCAGATTAAAAATCAAAAATCCAAGATGGCTGATGAAGCAAAAAAGGGAAAACACTATAAATTGGTCAAATTTAGTGATATTTAGCTGAAACTTGGTGTGGTGATAGCTGAGAATGTTTCCTATCGAATGCTGTATCAAAATCAAAAATCAAGATGGCCACCAACGCTACTTTTAAATGGCTTTAACTCAGCCATTTTTACACATACAGACCTGAAATTTGGTGAGGTTGTAGCTGAGAACATTCCCCATCACGCACTGAATTCAAATTTAAAAATCCAAGATGACCACCTTGGCTAAAAGAAAAAAAAACACAACTCGGCCATTTTTAGAGCTATTCAACTGAAATTTGGCGATTTGGTAGCTGAGAAAGATGCTTAATAGTCTCTGACTGAAAATCCAAAATTCAAGATGGCTGCCTTAGCTAAAAGAGAAAAAATTACATAACTCAGCTATTTTTACAGCTATTCAGCTGAAATTTGGTATAATGGTAGCTGAGATAAACACAATTTACTATCAAATCAAGAATTTAAATCGGCAGCAGCCTGGCAGCCCTCGTCAAAGTTTCTCCAGGAACGTTCTAGTTATCTCTTTTTATTGTCTTCCAGCTGCTCTGAGTTGTGCGACCTGTGCTGCAGGTTTGATTCACGTGTTTGGATATGAAGGCCGAGGTGCACGCATATCCTGCTCGTACGGTCAGGGTTATGAAGACTACGAGAAGTACCTGTGCAAAGACAACTGCGGTGACAGTGACATACTTATTCTTACATCACAAACGAACGGAACAAAATATTTCATCTTTGACGAACAAACAACAAGAGTCTTCACGACGACCATCGCAGATCTTCGTTTCGCCGATGCTGGGAAGTACTGGTGTGGGGTGAGTAGAAGCGGAAAAGACATCTACACCGAAGTCAAGCTGGAAATACAACCAGGTATGTTCAATAACAGCAAAAGAATGGCAAAATAAAATCGGACTCCAAGTCACTGTTCTTACACAATGACGTCACCTTTAAGTTTTGTTTCAGGCTGTTTTTGTTGCAACAACTCGTAAAAGGGCTTTTCAACTGGTGGCTCATGGGCCACATTCAGCCCGTGGGTGAGCTCAGTCTGACACACCCATGAGTTCATTTAAAATAAAACTAAAGTTTAAATCAGAGAAACAACGATAATAAAAATAACATTTAAAACATCCTAAATGGCAAATATTTCCACCAGAGACGTGATCGCTGACAGGATTACACAACTCAGTCCGTCTGATAATGAAGTCGTTTGAAATTAAACGAGATTTTAAATCCTAAATTAAATTTATGTTGTGATAATATTTGCTGAATGCCCGATCCTTGAGGTGTTGACTTTTAGTAAATGTGGCCGCAGAACAACTACACTAAATTGCCCCGTCATAAGAGCATACTGTACAGTAAGATAAATTCACTGTATTTAGAATATTAAAAACATTTTTAGACATTGGCAAAAAAACAGAAACCTCAAGTTATACAGGACTGTAAAAGTCACACTGGAGCTGATGGATGAAGTGACTTTTTTTAATGTGGATGCAGGGTTAAATAAATAAATAAATAAATAAATAATCAGGTGCAGCAGTTCACAGAGGAATCACATCAGGAAACAGGCAGCTGAGGGTCAGACTCTTATCATCCATGTTTCCGTTATTTATGACTCATTTATTTAGATTTTTTTTTTTTTTTTGTCTTTAAGAAATGTCAGTTGTTTTGCTCATTTTTCAAATTAGTTTATTTAATTTCAATTTAAAAGCTCACTGAGCATAAATGAATGTTAACGGGCAGTCAGTGTTAAACACAATGATTTGAGGCTGCTTGTGAGACTGAGTTTGTGTGTGGCTCCTTGGACTGATGAAGTCCTTTGGATGAAGGATGAAACATCTCAACAACAACAACAAAAAAAGAAACTGTCCACAGGACCTCACTTTACTTTGTTGGATTTTTTTCACCTGGATTATTGAGCATGAACTTTGATGTTTTGAACCACTTTGCCTATGGCTGCCTCAGTCGAGTTGATGGGGGAGGGGGCGGCCCCCAGAAACCATCAGCTGCTTGATTCACTATGTGGGTGTGCTGCTTGTGGGACTGAGTTTGTTTGTGGCTCCTCAGACTGATGAAGTCCTTTGGATAAAGGACGAAATGTCTCAGCAACAAAAAAGAAGCCATCCAGATGACCTGACTAATCTGAGAATCTTGAATTTAGCATTTCCTGAAAGCATTTTGGGTTGAAAAGACTAAACATCTGGTTCATAGACGGCTTTGAATGGACTAAATGCAGCCTTGAGGTGAACGTTTTGTAGACGTCTAAAATCAGACTAAAATCAACATCTACATTCAGCTGAGACTGGTCTACGTCTCAAACTAACGACCGCTACAATGCATCATTTCTTGCTTTTTAAAGACCAAACAAGCACCAAACATAACGGCAGTTCCACAATGTGAAAACAACAATAACAAAATAAAACCTGTAGATCTTTGTCCTTTATGATGTCCCTGAGGTAATTTGTTCTCCTCATACACCCTGTGAGGTTTAAAGGTTCTATAACGTATAAAGCGAAATCAAACATTTATGTTTTTATCAATCATTTAATGATAAATATGTAAATTGGTTATTTATTTGTCAGAAGTGTTGTGTTTTCTATAACAGCTTGGAAGATGTTTTCTCTGAGGTGTGCTACTCTTGAATTGGATCGGAATAAATTAAATGAGCTCTTAGGACGCGAAAGGCCCAACGGCTTCAAGCTGATAATCATTAAAAATCCAAAGAAAGTAAAACGAAAGTTTTGGCCACACTTCTTTTAAACACTTATGTGGCTTCAATATGTTTCCTTTAATTAATTTTATTTTTTATTTTTTTTACCAGACAGCTGCTGCGACAATGTGACTAAAGTCCAAGGTGTAGAGGAAGGTTCAGTGTCCATCATCTGTCCGTATGAGTCCAAGTACCAGAACAACCTGAAGTACATGTGCAGAGGAAACCAGCGCTCCACATGTCTGCAGCAGGCGCTGATCACCTCTAACACCAGACACAACGGACGAGTCACACTCAACGATGACAAGAAGTCAAACACATTCACAGTGACCGTTTTAAATCTGACCCTGGAGGATTCTGGGTCGTATCTCTGTGGTGTCCAAAGAGAAACGGGACTGGATGATTTCTCTGCTGCTGAACTGGAGATCAAAGGTCAGAGGTCACACCTAAAACCTGAAATGTTTGTGAATCCAATAATATTCTCTTAGAGATTATCAACTACATTAGCTTAGGGGCCAAAATTATTCTCTTTCTTCTTCTATGGATTCTTGTTGTTGCTGGTTATTGTTGTTGTTGTGGTTTATTTTTAAGTTGTTGCTTGTTGTTGTTGGTTTTTGTTGTATGTTGTTGTTTGTTATTTCTTGTTGGTTCTTGTTGGTGGTTGTTGTTGTTTGCTTGTTTGTTTTTTCGTGATTGTTGTTTGTTGTGGTTGCTGTTGTTATTTGTTGCTGGTTGTTTGTTTATTGTTGTTTGTTCTTGGTTGTTGTTTTTTCTTGGTTGTTGTTGTTTGGTTGTTGTTGTTATTTGTTGTTTATTGTTTGTTGTTGTTGTTGTCTCACAGTTGTTAAGTCTGATGTTAAAGGTGTCATTTGGTGATTTAGTCTGTGTCTTTGGCCAGAATGTTAATTGATTTTAAAAAAAAAATGCTAAAAAGTGTTACAGAACTGAAAAACAATCATTTAAAACAAATTTATAAAAAGTTGTTACCGAGGCATTTGGCGTCATAATTTACTACTTCAAGCACCACCAGCAGTGATTGATTGTTAATTTGGAGAATAATATTTGATCTTATCAATGAAGCGTGCACACCAGAACTGGTCCTCTTGTTCAACTGCTTGTTGACAGAAGTATCTAATCAGACATCTCATGGCAGCACCTCGGTGGAGTTAGGCATCATAAGGTGACGAAGACTCAAGTTCAAACCAGGCAGCACATTGAGGAAGAAATTGGATTTTAATTACTTTAGATGTGGTTGTTGTCAGACGGGCTGGTCCGAGTATTTTAGAAACTGCTGATCAGCTGGAACCTTCACATGCAACTATCTCTAGGATTTACAGAGAAAGGTCCACAGAAGAGAAATTATCCAATGAGCATCAGTTGTGTGGACCAACATGGCTTGATGTCAGAGGAGAACGAGCAGACTGGTTCAAGATGACAGAAAAGCAACAGTAGCTCAAATATCGACTTGTTCCAACCAACGTCTCCAGAATACCATCTCTGAACTCACAACAAGTGCAACCTTAAGGCAGATGGGCTCCAGCAGCAGAAGACCACACCGGGTGTCACTCCTGTCAGCTGAGAACAGGAACCCAAAGATACAATTGGCATCTTCTATAACACGTTCTACGGGTTGACTCGTCAGACCAGGGAAAGTTTTTCCACTTTCTTAGTGTCTCCAGTCTTGGTGAATATATCATCCTTCAGGAAATTGTGGATTGGTACCTGCCATTTGGTAATCACTGTTCTAAACATGGCTGAGAGGTAACGAAGCGGTCATGTTTGATTATTTTCTGAAAAGAATCAAAATGTACCTTTAATTTTATACCACAAGTATATTTTGCAAGGAAATGCACAGAGATTACACTCCATCAGTTCTTAATCCATTCAGTCACTCCGTTACACATATCTGCCCCTTTTGAATCCTGTCGATGAACGTTTGATCCTCCGCTGGCATGTGGAATTTGAAAGTTTCCTCTGGGTACGTTCGCACCAGTTTAGCCGGAGGGCTGATGCCATGTCTCAGCCCAAGCTCATTCCATCGTATTGCTTACGTTGTTTGTGTATCTCTGTAGCGACGTCGTTGTAGAATCTCACCCTTTGGTTCTTATAGAGGATATCCATCTTTAGTTGCTTTGAATGCAGCATATTTTTGTTTAAAATTAAGAAACCTCATAACCTGACTATAAACCTGACTTGGTGGTGCTTCTGCGTTTCTTTTCGGCCATACGCGATGAGCTCGTACAAGAATCAGTGGGTTTGTCAGGGCAGGCAAATTCTATACCTCTGGTATCCAACTTTCCAAAAGCCACAGGAGCCTCGAGCACCATCAGGGAGGTTCACCAATCTAAGGTTGTTGAGACGAGATCTCATTTCTGTGTCAACCACTTTCTCCTCCATTAGCTTGTTTGTTTTTTCCATGCTCCTTTGTGAATTAACAACGTTTGCTCGTCTTCCATTGTGGATAAACATTCCTCTGACTTAAACGTTTGGCACACTCACTCACGTCTTTTTGCACTGTTGCTATGGCTGTCATAGCACCATCGAATTTTACAGAAAACTCGGACTTTGAACTCTTTATTGCTCCAAGTATTTCCTCTTTGTCGTTGGATGAGTTATTCCTTTCGTCCATGTTAGCTGTTAGCTCCTCGTTAGCTTCCTTGCTATTGTTCGGCCACTTGCTAGCTATTTTGCTAGCCTCGCTTGTGCTTGGTTCCACGCTTTGCAGTCCAAAGTCTGACAACCTGCATTGCTGTTATCGATTTATCTTTGCTCGGTCTTCCAGTGCAACCAAATCAAGCTCAGTTGGAGTGAACCATTTTTTTTAAAGGGAATTTTCAGGATTCTTGTCAGGAGCAGTGTCTAACGCAACCTTCTACCTCATTGCCATACCTGGAAGTTGATGGTCCTTCTTTTACATGTGAACAGCTGGTTCTGGCTGTCAGCAGCAAACAGGTTGATCCACTGTGATCAGGTGCTATTTAAAAGACTGAGATTGCTGCAGTGTCTCAGACTGAAGAAGTCTTTTTGATAAAAGACGAAATGTGTCAACAAAGCAGAATCCGTCCAGACGACCTGACTCAACCTTGTTCGATTTATCTACCTGGATTATTGAACATGCATCAGGACGTAAAACCATTTTCTCTTTCCATCCTTTAGAATGGTGCTGTGTGAAATCGAAAAACATAAAAGGGACCTTGGGTCGTCCAGTGACCTTGCAGTGCTCTTATCCACATGAACATCGCAACAACAGGAAGTTCATCTGTAAAGGAGAGCGACGCAGCAGCTGTGAAGCCGTGACGATGGACCAGGACAGATTCACGCTGCACAACATTTCCTCCAGCTTCTTCTCTGTGACGATCACAAAGCTGGAAGCTGGTGATGCTGGGACGTACTGGTGTAGATCACAACCAGAGTGGGCTGTTGGAGACTACACCCAGTTTCATCTGGCTGTAGATAAAAGCAGCACAGGTACATTTTAAATAAAGATAAATATAATCTTTTTTGTTTGTTTGATTCAAGTGTGGAGATTTAGACCGAAGGTGGAAAAAAAAACTTACATTTCTAAGTCTGCAAGGAAGTTTCATTAAAACACAGATACTTTTCCTCCAAACACAACCAGTGTAGGGCTATTTTCAATTAAAGTAATTTGTTAATTTATTTTAATTCAAATGGCAGTATCAGCTTAAAACCTGAGTTGACCTGAGATCAAGATGTGTTGGCAGAGTTCATAGTGCAAAATTAGTGATACAGTTCAATAAAAAATGGAGACAGTTCAAGGTTAGTTTTTAAAGTCAAAACATGATAACAAAAACCAACAAAGTCCATGAACCAGTTTGACATGACTGTCGACGAGGGAGAGGGACAGCACCGGAGGAGGGGGAGTACCAAAGAGACCATCTTAGCACCAACATAACTGGTTTGTTCCACTTTGGAATAAGCTGTTGGGGAAATAATCAGTTTTGTGTTGTGTTTCCTTGACTGATGAAGCCTTCTGGATGGAAGGTGAAACGTTTCAGCACAAAAAAAGAAACTGTTCAGATGACCTGACTGAAAATCATTGGCATGATGACTAAAGTAAAGCTAGATGCTACTCTAGAGGTTAAAAAATAATAATAGTGATAGATGATAGTTTTGAGGCTCATATGCTTGACAGCTAGTCAAGTCGTTGCACTTTTTTATTTTAGTAAAAGAACATTCAGGAGCTCAGATTCTGTTTGTTGGCCAGTGTGGAGAAAAAGAACAGAATGCAACATGACGACGGAGGCTTGAGGTTCTTTCAACAACACATAAGACAGAAATCTCTAAGAAGAAATACAGACACACACAAGGAAACCCCGCGGACCAAGAACGAAACAGAAGAAATAGCCGAAAAGAACTTATTAGTGATTTTGTCTGCACACTCGTAATATTATTTTTAGACCACTTTTTTCCAACCACTAGAGGTAATAATAGGTAAAAGTGGCTATTATTGAGACACTTGACTTGCCATACAGAGCCACCTTCGTCTCACTCCAGAACTTCTGGAGCCAGCATCAAATCAACTGCATTTCGCCGCACCGCCCAGGTGACATGCAGCTGATTTGACCATTAAAGTGCATTTATTAAGAAAAAGTTCAACTGAGACCTTTACTATAATGTCAAACAATCAAATAATTGTTTTTAGGTGGTAATCTTGTTAAATTTCGACGAAACGCACAGCGAGTCCTCTGCTTCCATGAATCGATTTTTGAAATGCAGCTGATTTGACCAATATATGCATTTACTAAGGAAAAGTTAGCGTGTGTAGCAGTGTGTAGTGTTTTATCATCAAAACGTTAAATCTGAACATATTTTCATGACTAAGTTTCACCTTCTACTATTAACCATTAACTTGCAGTTTAAAACCCAAGTTTTTTTTTTGTTTTTGTTCAAAAATAATAACAAAACATTTTTCCCTTTTATTACATTTCTGGATTGGAGGAATTGTACAGTTAGAGGAAAAATACATGTTACATTCAAATTCAAAAATACTTCATTAATCCCAGAGGTTAATTAAGTGTTGTCATAGCTCATCATCCTGATTTCATTCAAGAGTTGTTATAGATGCTGATAGTTGTGGGCAGGAAGGATCTCTTGCAGCAAATCCAAAGAATCTGGTCACAGATACCGACCCGTCCACCCAGATCCAGTTTGCCGTCAGATCTGACGGGCCTCTCGGTCCTTCTGGGCAACATCACGGACAGACAGCTGAAGTTGCCAGGGGATGATCCCGGTCCTCTTGTTGTCATGAGCCGACTTTCCCACCACCTCCAGGATCTCGACGGTCAGGTACTCGAATACCGCCGCCAGGTTGACGAGAATTCGTCCACGGCACCTCCTTTTCAACTCGTTTGGGATTTGGGGCTGTAGTTGAGGTATTTGAGCTTTTGAGATGTTAATCAGCTGCTCCTGGTTGTTAAAAAAAACACCTTGTTGCCACGGTCTCGCCTCATAACAAATGTCCAAAAGTAAAAAGGGTTCAGTAAAAATCCTTCCAACTGCACAGCATATGATACCAGAGTAAACAATCATCTGAAAAAAGTGATTTGCATCCAGAAAAAATATAGGAATTAAAGCTTTCAAAAGCAAAAACTCAGAATGAAAGTAATAGAGCTACTCCAACATGCAGCCACCTTGAGCGGCGCAATTCTAGTACATGTACATTACTGTATTTTTCGGACTATAAGGCACACTTGAAATCCTTTAGTTTTCTCAAAAATCGACAATGAGTCTTATGCATTAATTCTGGTTGTGCTTACTGACCTCGAACTGATTTTATGTGGTACACGGCGCTCAAAAATCAGTCAAGATGAACTTGTTTCGCTTATTGCACCTTATAATCCGATGCGCCTTATAGTCCAAAAAATATGGTACATCAATACAATACAGATGTTAGTAATGGTAATATTGATATTTGGATTGATCTGTACACCACTACTACTCCGTAGGTAAATAGATATTGCAGAATTGGACAGGTGTTGAATCTCATAGAAGTCATTTTGGTAATAAAATGTGAGGGAATTTGAAATAAACGAGAAAAACGGAATAAGACAAAAGTCAGGAATAAATATTGTGGATCAAGCAGGGAGGTGCAAAACCTCTTCTAGACTGTCAAGTTTACAGTTTCAACCTAATTAACTTTTCATCTGTATACTTTATTCAACAAACCTGAGCATAAAAACAATGCGTCTAAACTGTTGGTCTTCCTGATCCTAAATAGCTCCTCAATAACTAGTAAGAACTAGTAATTGTGCTGCTCAAGGTGGCTACATGTTGGAGCAGCTCTGTTACTTTTATTCTGAGATTTTGCTTTTGGAAACATTAATTTCTCTTTTTCTGGATGTAATTCACATTTTTTGGATGATATTGTTTCCTCTGGTATCGGATGATGTGCAACTGGAAGGATTTTTACTGAAACTTTTTTTCGTTTTGGACATTTGTTATGATGCGTAACCATGGCAACAAGGCAGTTTTCTACAACCAACAGCAGCTGATTAACATCTCAAAAGCTCAAATAATATCTCAACTACAGCCCCAAATCTCAAATGAGTTGAAAAGGATGTTCTGTGGACGCATTCTCATCTACCTGCCAGCTGTGCTCGAGTGCCTGACCACTGAGATCCTTGAACTAGCAGGAAACACGGCTCATGACAGCGGAAGGACAGGATCGTCCCTCAACACCTACAGTTGGCTGGCCGCAGCGACGAGGAGCTCAGCAGACTGCTGGGAGGAGTGTCCATCGCTCTGGGAGGAGTTCTGCCCGGCATTCAGACGGTCCTACAGCCCGGGGGAACTGAGAGGCCAACCGAGTATGGGTGGACGGATCGTATGGCAGCTGCAGCCAGTTTCTTAGGATCCACTGTGGGCTGGACCTTTACAAGAGATCCTTCCTGCCTACAGCCGTCAGTATCTATAACATCTCTTAATGAAATGAGGATAACGAGTTACAACAACAAATAATTTCCCTTTGGGATTAATAAAGTATTTTTTAATTGAATTGAATAGACGTCACATCTGTGAAACTTTTTTCAGTCACTTCGGCTGTTTCTGGACCGGAGGTAAACAAACTTGTGGTAGTTGGCAGCTGATGATGGGGTGGGGGTATTTTTGTTTTGGTTGTTGGTTTCTGGACTCAGTTATGGTTCAGAATGGAGGAAATGAGAGTAAATAAGGGGAACTCCACCACAGAAACTGCAAATGTGTTCTCTTTCCAGCTGGTCGTTAAAACCAGTTAGATAGTGGTTACAATGGAAAGCATAACATCTTCTATATTTTGTCCGAGCATTTCAAGTTTTTTTTTCTCTTTTCTGTTTTTAAACTAGTAAACTCAAAGTTTATTTGACGGCTTCACTGAGACTCTTATTAATTTAGGATTTTACTCCAAATCTCTATAAAACTATAAAACCCACAGATTTTGACGGATCAAACTGTATCTAAAAGCTGAATTTTTAATTGTTATTTTAAAGACTGAGACTGTTGCATTTACAGTTTGGACTCTGGGACTGTTAATTAATAAAATAAAATAATTTTATAATTTAAGAAGGGGAAATCATCTTTTAGTACTGGTAAAAAAAAAAATACTGCATATTATGCATGTTATGTTTTGGTAAAGAGTGAGGAATTATATCTCTACACTGCCTTTTATGACTTAAGTGTACTTTTTCCCTATTTTATATACAAATTGTAATGAAATATAAAAAAAGGCACATTTAAAATATTTGAATCTTCCTGCCACCTCAGCCCAGTTTTGACTTTTAACACAAAAATGACTCTGACTTGCATGCAGGGCCCTTGTTGTAACATTAATTTCAGCTTCTGATAAAAAGTGTCATGCTGTAGAAGATGTTGAGGAAGTGAAACGTGTATTTATTCATCTTTATTTTGGTTTATAGTTTCAGATGAAGCGCTTTATGCTGTTTCTGCTGCAGCGCTGCTGACAGTGATAATCGTCCTGGTCACAGCTTGCAGGCACAAATTGTGCAAAAAGAAAGGTGACTTAAGTTTTTTTTATTTCTTCATCACAAGAAACATGTTCAAGCTAACAAATGTGTGATCTTTAGTGATTATTTCTCCTTTTTTTGCAGAACCATTTGGAACCAATATAGAAGTTGTAAACTCTGAAAAAGGGATGGATGCAGAAGATGTAAGAAAACTGAATCTGAAGCTAAACGTCAGAAAGAGCGGACACCTCTTTATAGGAAGCTACAGCAGTTTTTTATATTATTGATTTTAAAACAGAGTACAGTCTCACTCTCAAATTAACTTCTCTAACGCCTCACGTGCACTGAATAACTCGCACATTTCCTTATGCACTTTGACATTGACACATTTATAACTAGTTCTACTGAGACAGCTGCTTCAAACTGCAGTTTCCCTCACTTGTTAGACGCCTTGGAAAAAGGAGAGCTTGTGGAAGTTGCATCGAAACATGCTGTTAAGCTGTTAGCGGG